ACTGTTTTAACTTATGCAGAGTGTACTTACGGTCAATATTTCATTATCTTCCCTTGTATATATATTTTGTGTTAGTGAAAAATTTTAAACATTTTTACTTCATTTGTGCATTATTATGATATTGATGATGCCTGTCAACTGGAGTCCCTCAAGTGCATAAAGTGGGAATATATTATTGTAAGACGCATTTTATTGTTATATGACGGAATTGACTTCAAGATTTATTTATTTTCCCAAGTATCTGTAATCCATCCAACGCACACTTGTTTTCTTTTTGTTAATGCGAAGTCAATAACTCTATACTTCGTGGTGTCTTCCATTGAATCACCAGTTACCCGATTTTCCCGACAAACTAAAGATAAAATGACAACAACCATGTTATTTAACCGTAAATCATGTAATTTAAATATGTAACTTAAATAATTCTTATACATTCCTATACAACTTGTGTGTCCTTTATTTGAATGAATAAATATGTACCTTATTATATTATCATTACTAACTATACTTACTAATCGTATGTGCAATCTATCGAATTGATGATGCCTGTAAACTGGCGTCCCTCATGTGAAGAAAAATGAGAATATACTATTATTATTATTATTAATACCAGGCCAACAAAACCGACTAGTTACGACCTTGACGGTAGTTCGAATACCTGGGTGGGATAGGCCATGCAACGTATTGGAGACGTTACGGCGATAACTTTTAGGCACGATAGGGCGAGGAGTACCAGTAGAAATGTCGCAGAGAATATTACCTTTTCCTATACCTAGGGGTTTCTCGGCTAATTTTAGAGTTGTTTTCGACAACTCATGCTGAAGCTCGGTATCTTCTTTTTGAAGACGAGCCAGTTTTACAAAGTCTATGCCGTCGATTTGGGTGAGGGAAGAAATGCGCGACAAGGCATCTGCTACAGTGTTGTTCACTCCGGATACATGGCGAATATCCGATGTAAACTGTGAAACAATCCAGTTGTCGTGATTCCCTGGGTGAATACTTATCTGAAGTTGAGTTGAGAGAGTACGTCAGAGGTTTGTGGTCAGTGAAAATTATGAATTCACGACCCTCGACTGAATGTCGAAAATGACGTATAGCACAGTATATAGTTAGAAGTTCTCTTCTGAATGTGCCGTACTTCGTTTCAGCTAATTGAAGGCGCCTCGAGAAAAAGGCGAGTGGTCGCCATTCTTTATTAACTAGTTGTTGCAGAACTGCGCCGATTGCAGTGTCTGACGCATCAACTGAGATACTTAGCTGTGCCGTTGAATGCTGATACATCAGAAGTGTGGCATCCGCAATAGCTTTTTCTACCTGAGTAAAAGCATGTCGGGCATACGCGTCAAGTTCGATAGCCTTTTTATTCCCTCAAAGAGGGTCTGTCAATGGCTGAATCAGAGAAGCACAGTTGGGAACAAACCGTCGGTAATAACTTACCAAGCCATTAAAAGCACGAAGACTTTTCACCGTTTGTGGCGCTGGAAAGTTCAGTATCGCCTCCAATTTAGTAGCGAGTGGGCGAATGCCCTGGCAGTCAATAGAGTGACCCAGGAAGTAGAGTGAGTCAAGGCCTGTCTGACAATTTTGAATATTGATGGTGATACCATGTAGGCGTAACCTTTCAAATGCCAAGTCCAAGTGTCTAAGGTGAGTTTCCTTGTCTAGACTGGCAATGAGGCAGTCGCCTAAGTATGCATATACAAAGTTGACACCACGAAATACTTCATCGATAAAGAGTTGGAATGTTTGTGCTGCATTCCGGAGGCCGAATGGCATAAGTAGGAATTCGAAAGGTCCGAAAGGCGTGATGATAGCCGTTTTCGGAATATCTTCCGTTGCCATCGGGATTTGATTAAACGCTTTAACCAAGTAGATATTTGAGAGTATAGATGCTCCAGATTTCCTTAATGAGCGATTTGTTGCTTGGCCCTTGTCATTTGTTGTTACACAGGAACTACAGTAAGGCAGACTGGATTTTAGTGAAATCGGTGTTAAGATCCTCAGAATGGAGAGAGTACTTCTATACCGATAACGTCTTGAAAGATCTAGACACCTTTTGCTATAACTCCAACACATGCTTAGACGCTGTGATCCCATTTATTTAACTGAGTATTTGTCATGAACTTTATTTTATCATTGTTAACCATGTTAGTTGTAAAGGGGTTGGAAGGAAACTACGAAATGATATCATATCGCGAAATTTGTCTTCTTAATGCTTTATTCGAATTTATGAAAGGGACTAATTGTTTTAACAATCTCAAAATTTAAGAAGCAATTTATTCAACCAAAAGATCGCTCAAAACTGAAGAGACTGTCAACAAGTTGCTTCAGACGACATGATTTTAGTACACTAGGGTCAATACTTGGTACTCTTAGCTCCATCTCGCAAGCTCATAACTTGCGTATGAGAAATGAAGAATGCACCACCAGAGTAGGTGCTCTCACAGAAATCCCAAAGAAACGAATGAATCGTCAAAGCCATAAAATTTCTCTCCTTATAAACAAGGGTAAACTATACAGCAACCATGCAGGCATGTGTGAACTGTTTAACGAGACGTTTGCAGCTAACTACCTTAGGCCCATAAGCCCACTTCTCAGTTTACAATCTACGGTGGAACTCCCTTCTTCAGCGCTGAAACAAATCAGTACAGTTCATTTACCTATTCTAATATTGACCAAGCCATTAAAACTCTTAAAAGCTCTAGTAGTGCTGGTGTTGACGGCATAACATAGTATTTTTATAAACACGGTTGCTCTGACATTTCCGTTTTATTACTTAAGATTTTTACAATGTCCCTAGAAGGCCAAACCTATCCCGATAAACGAAAAACCACATTTATAATGCCCAAACACAAATGCGGATCGAAAACTGAAGTCAACAACTATAGGCCAATCAATATTACACCCATAGCGTCTAGAATAATGGAAAGAATAGTTAAAGGTGATATTCTCAGCTGCAATATTCTAAGTCCCAACCAACATGGATTCCTAAAATCCAGATCACGCATGACCTGTCACCTTGACTTGCATTTCATGTAAACTTACCCGTTTATACGAAATATATATTGCTATTAAGTATATAACCAGTAGCCGAGACAAACAACAACTAGTACCAGTCATCTACTTCGACATATCCAAAGCCTTCGACCGCGCTGACCATTTGCTTCAAATAAATAAGCTGAACTCCTTAGGAATACGTAACTCATTATTAGGATGGATTGGATCACTTCTTAACAATAGGTCCCAAGTAGTTAGACTGGGGTCTGTAAACTCTAAACCTAGTCCAGTCACTGAAATAAGTATAAAACTTGGTTACTGTGGTAGAGTATAACTCTATAATGGTTAAGATTGTATTTTTATAAATCACACAGTGTTGTACAGTTATATTAACTGATGACGTTTCGAGCACAAACTATTGCTCATAATCATATCAAGTTGACATCATTGAGGAGAAGTCTACGAAAGCACTCAATAAAATACCACAGATATCATGACTTATCATCATTAATTGCTATTACGTCGCTTCTCAATAGAACTGAATAGTTGAGAACTATAGGCCTCAGAAACAAAGAAATGCGAGCCATTCAGGCACCGCATAACTCAGGAGAAATAGCCAAACTTTTCAAAAGTGGGTTGACGAACTCCAAAACAGCCTATCCAAAAATAACATGCTTAGACGGGATTGCTTACGAAAATACTGAGGTGATATGTGAACTGTTTAGCAAGCACTTCGCCAGATTATAAACCTTAGAGAACGATGAGGTCGTGGATTTCCCACGTAAAACAGACGAATGTTTAAGTGACATACTTTTCACCACGCATGAGATCGATAAAGCTGTTGCAAATCTTAAGCTTAGTAGCACAATTGGTCTTCCATTCTGCTGAAAAACGCTGGTAATGACATGAACTTACTCCTACTCAAGTTATACTCATTTTCACTAAGCGATGGGACATACCCTACCTGCTGGAAGAAGTCTAATATTGTACCTGTCCATAAATACAGGCCTGTAGCTGATGTCAACAACTACCGCCCCATCAACATCACGTCTGTAGTTTCACGTGTAATGGAAAAAATGGCAAAAACTCAAATCATTCAGTACTTGCTGTCAAATGACCTACTGTCCCCATCTCAATACGGTTTCTTAAGTAGAAGGTCGTGCATTACTTGCCACTTAGATTATTTTGACTACATTACAAAATGCATTGATAATGGGCGTTCGGTAACAACATTATTTATTGACGTTAGCAAGGCCTTCGATAAAGTCACACATATCAGACTACCCGAAAACTCCAATCCTACGGAACAATCGTAAACTTCTCAAACGGGTAGACTGTCTTATCGCATCATCGAATGTTCAGTGATAACTGCTTTGGATATTAATTCTGCGGAATTGGCTATGGCTTCACTCATAATTACATCAGTGTACACACATGAATTCGTAATTTGCTTCATAAGTTTTTCCCTACTCCTAATGTTTATTGCAATTTTCAATACATCTGGTGTGGGCGTTACATCATTTTGACTTAGGTGTTTGGTGTTGGTTCAATAAACAATGATGAGATGGTTATCCATTCTCTACACATAAATTTATCACCTACTGATATTGCGTGTAGGATAACTAATGGATAACGCCAATTACCACAGTCTATTTAGCACTAGATAATGTAAAATAGAATCTGACTTTCATATGAGGAGAGGGAGAAGTGCATGAAGATATCACAAAATTCATAATTGGAACCGCATAAGTACTTGGTTGATTCTTTCCCATATGACAGTTTTGAAATTTTCAGTGCAGTAAGAAAGGCACTTAAGATTTCCACTGAGTTTGATGCACCTTCTTAACCCTCACTAACGTAGAATAACAATGTCTTCATTGTGCCGAATTTATTTTACGGCATAGGAGGAGGCGCGGCATTCAAAAGAACGCGGCACAGCGGGCCCAAAAGTCGGTCGTTTGAGTGGCTAGGACCTGAGCTATTGCGTCATCTTTCACGGTGAAATGCTGTCTCGCACAGTATCTATGAAATGTGTCCGGGAGTTTTGTCAGGTTACAGGTGAGTTATCACAGTTCCCGTTGATATTATCAGGCACGGATGAAGAAACTGCTCGCTCATTTCTGTCAGCTTGTAATGATGATTTGGATTTAGCTGTGAGTCTATATATGGATGACCCTAGTAGAGTTCCATCTCACAGTACTACAGAGGAATATCGTGCCCCCATCCCTCAAAGAAATGAGCAGCTACTGCCTGCAGTTGTGCCACTTCGTAAGTTCATTTCCCGATTTGCCACATCTTTTTCATTATTAGTTTTACTTGTACTAGTAATTATCACTTTATGAATGTTAGTGTATTTGGTCCGACTGGTCAGTTTATCTGACTTAAATTGTTAGGTTTTTGTCACGAACCAACGTCAGTTAGCGAGATTATTAAAAACCACGGGGCTCTTTACCGTTCTTTCGTGTAATTTCGGAACGCCTCATCAATGTAAACCCATGATTTCTTGAGGGGTCGAACGCGGGACCTTCATGTTAGGTGACTGAAGTCTTTGACCATTATACCACTTGGGCTAGACTTCAATGACTGCTGAATTCAAGCTGTCAACTTGCGATATGGTGGCGCCCTCATCAGTGACCGATGAGAATCCTCTTCACCTTGACATAGTGGACAGCGCTGGTCACGAATTTTCGCTGTGGCTTCGAGAAATCCATTCAGCATCTATCAGTTAGCTGGCGTGCCTAAATTGTAACAATTGAAATTAATTCGAAATTCCTACAAACCCCATAATCACTATATCTGTTTTCGTCAGATGTGTGCTTCATCAGGTTGGGCTTTCGGTTCTTTCAAGCTATTATCAGGCCAAATGTTTATTCTGGCTTAGATCATCAAGTTTTTTATTTTTAAGGTGTGTAAACACAACTAATAGGCGTATAGAAAGTATGCAGTTAGGCCTGAGTATTCATTTCCAATATGTACGAATTTATGTAGATTTAAGCGTGTTGGGGATTTTCCAGCCTGAAATGACGCGCTTTTATGTTGATCATTACGCCGGTGGAAATATAAGTTAATCTAACCTTAACCATGTGCATAGTCCCAATCCATTGTAAACGTATTTTTATAACAATCATCCTGAACGGACGCACATACTTGCATGGTTCACCGTGGTAATGTTCTAATTTCCACGAATTGATGAAGTATCTAAGAAGTTATGCGCTAATGTAACTGGAATATGAGATTAGGTAAGCCTTACCTGATTTCTAATTCCCATTTTATATTCATCAATATGCCTATGACAATATTAAACTCATTTCTATTAGGATCGGGTAGATTGTGATATTTTTGGTACGCAGTCTTTATTTAAAATGGTTCTACTTAATTGAAGCCTTGCATTGAGTAAGGCGACTTGTAATATTTCATCATTTGTTCACAGATTACCAGGGAGCGAAATAAATATTTTTCCGTTGATGAACGACCCCACTGAGGTCTAAATCCACCTGATTCTATAATTTGTTGCATTTTTGTCAGATATATTTATTTTGAGTCAAACAAAGGTCTGGTTCCCTTTTCCCTAAATTACGTAGTAGTGAATGACTAATTTAGACCTACTAATATAATATTTAGTTATTAAAATGTCATTTGTAGACTTCATTAACTCAGGAAGTATCGGACTTGAGTATTTTTTGAAGTAAAACTCACTACACTTTGTTTCTTTTAAATGATACTATTTAGTTTTCTTGATCAGTTTTTTAATGCATTTATCAGTGGAAAATTATTATCACCTTTACTTTTTTTGATCACATGCTTAGTGCCTACTCATTTGCAAAACCCAGCTCCACTTCAAAAGCGTCGACGAGCATTCGTGGCCGATGATTCCGATGACAGTTCAGGCGATGATGTTATCCTGACAAGTGGTGTAAGATGTCAATCATTTGAAAAGGCGAAGTTTGTTTCAAAATTAGTATTTTTCTTTGACATGCATATAGGATTTACTCGCCCGCTCATTTATAAATTCCACGAGTGACACACATATTTCAGCTATTATATGGTCCTAGCGTGTACCAATGCTTTGCAACCCAATCTAGGTATTAAAAACGATTGTCAAGTTTAATGGTTCCCAATAAAGCTGTAAATATACTTGATATACAAATATAAGTTAAGTTTAAGGATCGTTTTACGTCGGTAACATTATTTATCGGTTTAACTAACCAATGGAGTCAATTTTGTAGATTTTAACCAAGGAAGCTAAAGATCTCATGACTTATTTCTCTTGACTAACTCGGCATGTATCAGTAACTAATTTCAAAGATGAAGAATCTCACAGATTTGCTTTTATAGTATCGGAGTGTATTGAATAGTGCGGTTGCCAAGCAGTGTGCATTGTCAAATGCATTTATAAAAATCAATTTTCTAAAATTGCGACTCCGGCAACTTTGTCAACAACAGTCAATAATAATGGCAAAATACATTTTCACTGTACTTTAACCATTGATAAACGAAAACTGTCGAGAGTAAAAGATATTTTTCCCAGATGGTGTTCACGTCATTGATGCATGGTACGCTCTGTAACAACATAATGTGTATCTAATTTGTATTGACACCGACAAAACGTTTTATTGCTCAAAGATCCTCTTACAAGAAGTGGGTAATGCCCACTGCTAAATTTTAGTCAAATAGTGTATTATCATGTTCTGGGTTAGGGTTAGGATTAGGGATGAGTGAATAAACCAAAAAACTCACAGAACACAACTACATCAAAATCATCCACCTGAGCTACAAACCTTCTCCATCATATCAACTTATTGAACATCCAACACCTCCCTGAATGGGATATATAAACACCGTCCCTAACTGAGGCTACAAAAGCTGTCACTGATCTGAAACGAGGCAAATCAGCGGGGCCTGATGGAATGACTCCAGACGTGTTTGAGAAGGGTGGAGGCAGTTTACTGTCTGCGTTAACTAATGTATTAAGCAGCATCTAGGAATGAGAGATAGTGCCGTTGGGCTGGTGTAAGTCATTGATTACCCGTGTATACAAGAAGGGGTAAGTCTTTCGGGGGGTAATCATAAGGGGATTAGCTTGATAATACGTTACCTAAGTTTCTATGCGCAATAACCATGCGTAGATTGAGTGGTGCTCGAGAGAAAAAACGCAAGGAATCTACTCAGGCTCTAAGTTAAGTAGAGGATGTATTGACCTGATATTCACATATTCTGGAACATAATCACATTTTCTGGCGTCCAACGATTACCATATTTCTTGACCAGAAGGCGTCATTTGACTCGGGCTGTCGAGAGGTAGTATGGCAAAGTCCGGTTGTAAGGGAAGAGCTGAGAAAGTACATCGCACCAATCGAAGCACCCTACTTGTACTCATACAGACCTGTAAGAGCTTATGGATCGTTGTCATCTGATGTGATGACAACAAGTGGTGTCTGTCAGGAATGACCACTATCGTCGTTTTTGTTGAAAATAAACAATTTATGCACAGAGGCATAAACACTTGCAATGAGTACATGGATGTACTAATGGAATTAAACCTGACTGACTTCAGCAACTCAGGGATTGACTTGTTACCAGGGTGTGGTCTCGTCGCCTTAGAATATGCAGATGATATAGTTCTGCCTCATAGGTGAAGACGCCAGGCATCTTCTTGACATGGGTCATGAGGTGGACGTCGAAAAGTCGTCCAAAATTATCAATAAGCAAAAGAGTTCAGTTCTCCTTAAGTTTGCTGAAGCCTTTTCCATCAAGCGCCTAAAACCTGATTTGTGCATTCAGAAAGGAGCAGTTATCAGTCTTTCTTTGCTCTGGTAACTGGATATTTTTCATCCTAATGCGAGATACTGGAAAGTTTTCATTGTGTATGATTATTATTGCTCGGAATTGTGTTCATTATTGCATATATATATATGTATATATTATTAGTGTATGTGTATATTGATCGATTGATTTCTGTTTAAAATGAACTCTGTGCAAGTATGTTAAATTGTTTGTAGGTACATTTAATAATGTTTTTGCCCTGTAAGCAGCTGAAGAGAAGGCGACGAAATGAAATATGGTACCATTTTATTCTGCTAAAATTGTAGTTGTTGCTTTGTTCAAAATACAGTCTTCTGAACACTCTGAGCAGCAATCTTCGAATGCGATTGGCATGCAATTCGCTCCCTCTGTCAAATGTAAGATGGTGCTACAGAACTGGACTACATTGACTCCTAGCTTAAAGATAGTGAGGGAAGTAAATGGTAGAGCGTGTTGACCACTTCACTAATTTGGGGAGTTGCATTAGCCACAACGGGCTGATTGCTGACGAAATCTCTACACGGATACAGAAGACTCGCTTGACATATGCCAGATTACATTATCTCTGGCGTAGATGTGATATCCGGCTATCGGTTAAAGAACGTGTGTACTTCTTAGCACTTCGCTCCGTCCTCCTTCATGACCATTGAAAGTGGAAGACATGAAAAGCCTAGCTAGATGTCTTTGATCATGGTTATCTGAGTTCTATCTGCCGTGTTAAGTGGTATAATAGAGTGAGTAATATTGAGGTTAGGCATCGACGAGGTTGTGAAGTTACGTTGATTGAAATGGTTAGGAGATGTTTTACTCATATCTGCCTAGCCATCGCTTTCCTCGATTGTCAATGTTAGCTGAGATAGGATTGATCAGCTTGGAAAAGAGTAAGCTAGTGGTGGTCAAATGAAAACAGCTTCATCAATCAATGAAATCCATACCAGTTAGTTCTGAGCCACGTCTGGAGGTGTAGACTTCCTGTCTGGTTGGGGTACTCGGGGTGGTAAGAACCAATGATGATCAGCGACAAGTGGTGATATGGCTCAAAATGGTTCTCAATGGCTGGCGCAGATGCATCCACTCCTTGTAACTTATAATATCCAATAAAGTTGTATTGTCCTTGCATATTACTATTCTTTTTCCCTCATATTTCTGTTTATTATCTCTCTTTTGAATCTCTTTTTACTCTGTTCTCTTGATTCGTTTGCTAAGTGAAGTGTGGCGACTCGAACTGCTGCACATCTGTGCAAAGTTCTACGTTGAAACCAGTCAGTCAGCTTTTATGAGGTATATCCCCTTGAACTGATGCGTATTTTTTTTGCAAAGGTCTACTTAGATCATTCAGTGGATTTTGAATTATTTGAGTACATACATACCTCTTGATTTATGTAAATATGGTTACAGTGCATTTTTCATCTTAAGGAGTTAAGTTCCAAGGTTAGTTCTGGCCTTTGCAGACTACTAGTGGTGTATGAAGATTTCAGGTGTGTGATTTTGTTTAACATTGTATTCTGCATAAAACTAATTCTATTCCTACTGCTTTTATAAACTGCAGTATGCGAACGGTTGGTTTAATTAGTTAAAGATGGTTAGAATTCAACTATCCGGACCTGTTAGCTAGGAAACTGAGCCATATCTTTATCCTAATTTGTTAATAACTAGCAAATAAGAGAAGTAATGACGCATAGCGTCAAATGAAGTCAAAAAGGTCAGGCAGTCATCGCAACCTGGTGGTGCATTTCACACACCCACATTCAGTATCCCGGTGAAGTGCTTCCAATATTTCCTCTATCTCCAAGTTCAAATGGTGTGTATCTCTTATTATTTACTTTATTCCTTTGAGTTCCCGGTGAACCTAGGGCTTCAATCCAGAGCTTTGAAGTTTCAGTAGCACTGGTGTTTTTACGAAATGGGGTTGCTAGCCTCATGCTCAACCTTTCCTCTTTACCGAGCTTACTACCGGATAAGCAAGGTAAAGGAATGAGTTGGTCGAGGATCGAACCCCAGATCATCGGTCAGTTGGCCAGTGTCTTACCACTGAACCACTGACACATGGTATGTATCACTTGATCATGGGACCTATTCCTAGTTAGCACTAACTTCCGGTATAACCAGTGCCGTAGACCCACCCGGCGTCCTCCTGTCAATCAATCCTGAACTGAGATGAATATTGCTATCGGCTTCCGATGACACAAGTGCTTATAATACTGCGACTCCTTTTGGATCATGCTTTAGTGTTTACCAGGGTAATCTTACGATATCGTGGTAATCATAAATGTCTTCCTCTACATTTTGACGTTGACAAACATATAGCACCTACTATTCAGGGCTCACCAGCAATCCCTTCCCTCCGAATATTATGGATAACTTTGGTTTCGTTTGTAAGGGTTATGAAAATGAGGGTTTTAGAATCCCGAGGAACCCAACCAGGTAGTCTACCCCTCCCTACGTCGATCAAACTAACTTCTGAAGATTTTAATGGACCGATGCCATGTTTTCATATGACTACCAGCAGCTCTTTTCCAAATTAATCCTATTTCAGCGAACACCGACCGTCGAGGAAGGCGATAGTTAGGCATTACGTATTACATGTCTTAGCCGGCTCAATCGATGTAGCTTCACAACCTTATCGACTGAGTTACCTGCCTTACCTAACACTCGACATATAACCTCAATATTACTCAAAGTATTACACCACTCAACAAGGGCTATAGAACATAGACACCTATAATCCAAGAGAGCTGGTGTTTTCACATCTTCTTTTTTTATTTGCTATGTATCACAACCAGAGAGGAGAACGGATCGAACTGGTGAACAGCACATATCTCCTTTAATCGATAGGCAAATATCATGTCTACACCAAAGATGCTGCAAGCTCGCAAATGCCACATGAGTCATCACTGTACCCAACTCTAATTGGAGCTTACGTAGTGAATGTGACATTCTTAGGTGTATTAGTTTGCTACAGGCCGTGTCGGAAATGTTTGCTGTCTCTTCCTATAAACAGTGTAAGACACGTGAGAAATTGATTCGCTAACGGCATGTTCGGTTTCGTTCAAGGCGAAGATGGATAGATCATATATTCACTTAGCTGCTAGAGCAGCGTCATTCGTATTGCAGACCAACAATCGTTATGTCTTTAAGTATTATGACTGTCTTCGACTGCTTTGACAGAACTGCCCTCTGAAACCATCTGTTAGAAAGAAGTGTTCCTGAGAGCGTTATACAAAAACACTTCAAGTACAGTAAGGACATATACCTAGCTATCACTACTGTTCTCAACCAACATTCAGGGTTAAACAGGGTTGTCCAGTATCACCACTTCTCTTTAACTTTCCCATCGATTTCATTCTGGAGACACCAATAAAAGAAGTGTTTGGTGGTGGAGGTGTAGGTCTGCCTCCTGGAGAAAGAGATTACGACTCCGAGTATGCAGACAATGTCGTCTTGCCGTGCGACAGCATTTAGGCTGCCCGAATCGCACTTCATCAGTTGGCAGTGTCAATTAGCATGGTATGTACTTTGAGCGGTCCAAGTGCAAAGTGCTGCTGCAAAATTGGTAGGAGCCTGTACCTGTACTCACCGCATAAAGTTATCGACAGGTTTTTGTGGTATCTAAGTTGTTGCGTGAGGACTGGTGGAGATGTGGTGGACGAAATATCTAACCACAGAGTCATTGGGAGCATGGGATACACTAACATGGACCACATCTGACACCGTCATGACTCCATCAGTTTGGTTGTCAAAGGTTGGGACGAAATTGCTTCGGTGCACGCAGTTGCTTACTCTATGCCTGCCTGTGAAAATTGGCCTCACCGAGTTGAGGATGGGTTTCCACTCATTACTGTCTCCGTAGGATTGCTTGAATTCTATGCCACCATCGTGAACGGGATTCTGAGATCCAGCAGTGTGGGATTAGACGCGTTAGAGGGCATCTTTCATTATGTTGTTATTCTGGAACACGAGCGTCTGTGTATTGGATGTGTAATGACATACCGATCCCTGTTCTTTAGTCTTCGGACTGGACGCAAAAAGCGAAGTGTTGGTTAGCCTCTGATGTTCGTGGAGCCATAGGGTGCAAGATGTTTGTCTTAGGTAAGCATTCTAGGCTGCATCACGACTTCCTTAATGAGTTCTGAAGGGAAATTTAATTAGGTGGTTCTAGGTGTTATCAGATATGGCTAAGGATTGTAATAAGTGGCGGGCTAGCTACAATTTCTTTTTCCCGTTTGTGAAAGTTACATGAGGTAATGAGCCATCATGTGAAAGATCCTAACAAGTGTCCCTACTTGCTATCCGGATGATATCCCTCACTAATTGTATCCCTGTTCTCCCAATATTGTTGTAGTATTACTTTTATGTGACGCATCTCTACCGGATTTGTATTTTAATAAATAAATTGAAATAATTGTTATTTTTACAAATCTGTTAAATCCTCATTATTCTTCACGTAACTTTCGTAATATGGGTCTTTTGAAATTTTTGCTTTACTTTTGTATGTTACGTAGAATACAGCAACTTAAACTGTTTCACTTTTGTGCAAGTTCCTACTTCGAAAACGCAGTCAGTCAGTTGTGGTAGTCTGTATATTAGGGGCACGAATATCTATCTGAAGAACAGTTTCTAAATCCCTAGAATGTGTTTTTAACAACTACTTAGTTTTAAAGTTGTATTTGAGTCAAACGTCAAAAACACAAACTTACTCTGTTGATAAGTTATGTTTGATTTTTGGCGTCATATAGAAACCACTAAAATAACGAAGCCTTAAGATTCGCTATACTTCATATCTGTTCGTTGTTAGGAGCGTTCATCGAAACCACGATACGAGCCTAATTCATCATCATCAAATACAGAAGGCGTTAGCTCTGGTTCATCTTCAGTCGCTCGTTCATGTGGTCATGTCAATGGAGCAAAGGATGATACAACACAAAAGAAAAAGAGACACCTACAGCAACTTTATCAACCTCCTGTTGAATTATTGTTCAGTGGATCGTTAAATGCTGTAAGTTATTATCAGTGTGTCATTGGTTGTGTCAGCTGTGAAGTTTCAACAGTTAATATTTAATATCCACTTATATACGCGTGTATACATAAGATACGATTATGCTTTGCCTCATCTCTATAGTAAATCTATAAAGCTATAAAATTAATCTTGATGTAGTCAGGTTATCACTTCTATCCGTCTTATACTCATAACCTTTTTTTCGAACAGGCTGCAATAGCTGCTCAAGAGAAACATCAATGGTTGCTTGTTAGTGTCCACGATGAAGGGTGTTTTGAGTGTCATTTGTTAAACCGTGATGTTTGGAAGGATCCAAAAGTCTATCAGCTGGTCAAATACCACTGTACATTCCTCCAAGTAAATATTATACAATATTTGATAATTTATAAATTTATTTAATGTTTTCATAAACAATGAATTATTTCTCACTTTTTATGTGCTCTTCAGTGTGAGTACGGTAAAAAAATCCCATTAATCAGAATTACTTTTGTGGTGTTATTTAGTGTAGTTGTGGATTATTGAGTGCGACTTTACTAAATAGTCATAATAAAAATTAATACGAAGTAAAATATTAGATGTAATCTTAGGTTGTTGAAATAATTTTAACCGAATTTTGTGTGTGAGCACAAATTGATCGTTAGACCTTATGGTATATAGTTAATTATCGTTTCTTTTTCATGACAGTTAGGAAATCTTAATGTTTTTGTGCACAGGTGATGTTTAAACGTAACCGTTAGGTCCCTCCCTATATCCAACATTTCAAGTAACTACACTTGTTGAAACAATTTATTTTACTAATGTAGCCACATTCCACTAGGAAGGCTAATTGTTGGTAGTGGTAAAATCAAATCTGACCGATAGCGCTGCTACCAGTGGTGGTAGAGTTTGTAAGTTTCAATGACCCGATGACGTACACTGACTAGATCGAATATTCTTGCAGGCCCTACCATATCAGAACTGTTCTTTTGGATAGCGGTTCGACAAAAAGGCAGTTGATAACATCGTAGTTTAAGTCACTCACACTATGTTGGGAGTTTGTTGGAGAAGTAGTACTCCTGACAAATACAGACGTGATAGCAGTGATCTTCTCGGACAACCAGCAATGGCTTCCTCCCTTAAGGAAGGGGGTCGACCCATAAAATTGAATATCACCACTTACGTTGCTGCAGTTCGTAGTTGAAAGTAATAATAATAGTCACTTTATGCGTCGGTGGCACAGGTGGCTCAGGGTTCGACCCCCGGCTGACGCACTCCTTCACCTCGCTAAACCAGTAATAGGAGTTGTAGGGGGGGGGGAAGGTTGGGTATGAGGCTAGCAACCTGATCCTGCTATAGAAACTTCAAGCCTCAAGGAATGAAAAACTTTATTCCAAACAATAATAATAATTTTACAGAATGGAATCTTCAGCGTTTTTATAGATATTTTAACAATGTAACTCCTTTCATAAATATGGAAATACGTAATATTTAGAATAGTAATAATAATATTAATAGTGGAACTACTATAAATAGAATGTTGGTGGAAACAATGAAGTATAAGCAGATAGTATCACAGATAATACATGTAATAATAATCTCTGCTCATACTTTGTAGTTTATCTACTGATTTAAAAAGTTTATAATTTCTTTTCTGACATCTGACTCTCTCTTCACTTTAAACCCGTGCTAAATATGGTGGTATAGTAGAATTTTTGTATTTAGTAGCTGTACGAGCATAAATTCTTATGGAGTTGCTTCTGGTTTCACCCGAAGATATACAGGGCAAAAGTTGAGAATAAAGAGGATGTTCAGTATCAGACAAGATAACTTTAGCCAAATGCTTGCAAGAATTTGACTGCCTATTGACAATAATGTCTATCAGTTGAATCAGAGGCATATTACTAACCTTACTTTTATGGTCTTCAGTGCTCTACGTGATATGACGTCTTTTTTGAGAAGTCCAGGGAAGAACGAGTGGGGCGAACAATAAACGAGAATGGGAAAAATACCTGAATTAAAAAAATGTAAGGGAAGAGGTTAAGTTATGCCGGAAATTCTCAACTTCTTTATGTAATAAGTCAAACGAAAATTTTTCTTAGAAATCAACATGACATGAGAAGACCAACAGAGATTCGAAAGGAAACTGATGCCTAGTGGAGAGATAATCGATTTGATATAAGTATAAAACTTGGGCACTGTGGTAGAGTATAACTCCATTATACATAAGATTTTATTTTGATAAATCACGCAGTGTTATACAGTAATATTAACTGATGACGTTTCGAGCACAAACTATTGCTCATAATCATATCAAGTTACTCGCACAACTTGTTTCCTTCATTTATCAAGTAACTTGATATGATTATGAGCAATAGTTTGTGCTCGAAACGTCATCAGTTAATATTACTGTATAACATTGTGTGATTTATCAAAATAAAATCTTATGTATAATGGAGATAATCGATTTACTCCCTATCACAATGCCGTCAATTTTACAGAAGTCATGCTACTGAATAAGTCCACTTAAATCTTGTTCGCATCAATAATACACCAATTAAATGATTTAGTTTAAGACAACTTAGGTGAGGTCACTTTTTAACTTCAGACAAGAATTTATTCATAAGAGAACAATCCAAAGCAGAGACTACTGGGACAGAAATTGTAAGATCATTGGTATATTTAATGAAGTTGGCTTTAGACGAATATGGAAGGTCATGCAAAAAGAAAGGAAAAAATGGATGGAGAGAGTACAGTGCCTTTGAGACACACCAGTTTCTGCTAGCAACGAAATGGAGCGCTTTCCATTCAAAACAGTATATTGTTTTCTACCCGAAAAATATGAAGACAGCCACCTTGTGACCCAGGACTCATTGTTTGTTGAAATCAGCTTGCTTAGTAAAAGTCAAAAGCAGCAGTGTAGTCTAGAAAGGAGGCTCAAACAAACTTTGCGCCTTTATCAAGACTTCAAACAATATTGTGGTGGAGCACTACGACAACATCTAATGTGCTTCTGCTGCATTTGTGAGCGAACTGCTTTGGGTCACTCAAATATGTCAAAGAAGTTTTAAAAACATGCAAGAGAAGTTTCTCCATAGTTTTCAAAATTGAAGACGTGATGGCTATTGACCTTAACTTTAGTCCTGATTCAGATGATGACTTTGGCATAGGCACCACCTTTATTTCTTTCCAGGCGACAGATACTGTGTCCCTGTGAAATGATGCACAAAAGATTTGAGTAGGAGGACAACACAAAATATTGGCACACTTTTGAAGCAAAATGCTTGGTACAAAACCGGGTCCTAGGCTGTGTGATGGATTCAAGGATTGGAGACATGTTAATACGTCCTCTTCATTAAAACCAGGGAAATGATCATTTGCTTGACTAGAAACATCAGGTCTAGTCGTATTAGCTTGTCACATTGTAAAAGATCTATTTAAGACATTTACATCAGGATAAGCATCAACTGAATTTTGTTTTCCGCTTGTAAGTTGATTAAAATTTTTATAAATGCTAGAAGCATTCTTACATCATATCCCATTTAGTCTTTGTATTTCAGACTGTCAGAGAGTGTATAGTTCGTACACCTGCATCATCATGTGATTTATATATGTGTGATTTATACATTTTCTCTGTTTCTCTCCTGAGCTTTTTAGTTGTGGCGAAGAGATCCTATCGAATTTCGTGAACGGTGTTTCAGTAGGACAGAAAATTTCCGAACTGAACTTGAAATGGGAGGTGATATTAGAGACAGTAACGTCTGACACTTTATCGAGGAATAGGTCCCAATTAGTATCGTGCAACATACATCCTAGTGTTTGAATATTGTCATGTGTGTTGGTAGCACAGCGGTTAGGACTCTCGCCGACCATGCGCATTGTCCGGGGTTCGATCCCCTGCCGACGCACACCTGATATCTGTGGTCGGCCTACAAATTTGGGCTACCGATATCATATGCTGAAAATTCCATACTTGTACCAAAAATACTGTGGTTTCAAGCTATAATCAAAATCAAAAAATCAAATCGTTCTTGAATTTTCCTTGTTAGGTGAACAAAGCCTCTGCTGCGTAACTTGCCATACACTTTCTGTTAAATACGAATGATGCAGTGGTCAGAATTCAGCAACGGAGGTCTCCTTGGCACCTCGTATATTTCACGATCGTTTATGAAAACCAAGTCTAGGGTTTTGTTCAGACGATTATTGAATTTGACCAAGTACTCATGACCAAGAGATATGAGAAAGCTGTGATCGCAAACATTAAAGTCTCAACAGACTACTGACAAAGAGTTTCCAAAAATAGCGGCAGTGAATTCGTCTGCGAAGATAGATATATCAGAGAAACTGCAGTCTGGAATCATATAGACATTTGTTATGTATAAATAGGAATATTTACTCGTATGCTTCGGATGACACCTAATGGTGATACAGTCCATATTGTCATTGGAAAACTTAAAACATGCGTGATTAGATGTAGACCACTTTGTACTAATAAAAGTGGCCACCCTTACACTGTGCTTTTTATTTGAACTATGTCTGTCCTGACGGGAAACTGTATGTCCATTTGAGATTAGATTGTCGTCATATTTCTGGTGGAGCCAAGTCTCTTGTATAGCTAAAACCCGCCTTTCGATACACATCTGAGGATTTTAGAGATTGGAGATAGTCCGCTTTGTTAGGCAGAGACCTGCAGTTAGTGCTAACAACTTTGGAACAGTCATATAATTAATTTTTGTACGTTTTAATGCACTCTGCCAACCACTGTGATGTTTTTTCTTCAATTTTTGAGAATACCTCGACGCGATATGTTGAAATGATTTTGAAAATACGTGATTATAGATGATACCATTGGAAGACATTTGTGATTGATTAAAACAAAAATATAGGAACAGATAGAGACATTGTTCGTTGATGGACTGTGCTATCAGGCAACACTAGTACCCCTTCACTTTCAGGCATCTCAAGAAGCAATCAACTTACATGATATGAACAGCTGGAAAGTAGCAACCGATCCCATTATTTCATAAGCAATACTGAGATAAAATTAAAAATACTGTCATAGGTTGGATAATGTGCGTTTGTGGGCATTGTCTTACTGATGGATATGATGACGTCTTTAAAGAGTTCCTTACAAGTTAACAATTATGGTGATTTTTGACTCTGCGTGGCAGTCTTTCCTCAGGATCAAAATTAAAATTCGCATTCAGTCTGGTCCTATAGACTCCATCAGTAGATGGATTCAAATCTACAAACGATGTGATCATCTTACGACAGCTACTTTTAGTCACTGTATCCACATAAAATTACTGATATACATATTACCACAGGAAAAGTAACTTGCGGTGTAAGAGACAGCCAGAAAGATGGAAAAAATCTGTTCTCGGTAACTTAGTTTAAACTTGTTCAACGCCATGGTTGGTTAATCCATCATCAGATGTCATCTAAAATTCGAGAAGTACTATTCGGAATTGAACTGTGGTCAGGGATGTGATTGCTGTTTCACAATGGAGGTTTCGACTTTTGTGAACGAAGTAATAAATCAGTTCAAGTTAAAATGGGAAAGTGAACAATTCTATTCCTCATTCTTAATGACTTTGGAAGAGACTGCATTTGTGCCTTTAATTTTCTATAGATTGACCTACTTGATGTCAGAGTTAAGATACTTCGTGGATTGCAAAAGAATGCCCATATCGGATTTATTGTATGCTTCCCCATGCATAAATCAATACTGTGAAAGTTCTAAATTCTCGCTTATTCAATTCAATGTAACTTTTTGATTATTTGAAGGTTTCATTCCCAGTGTTTATTCTTACTCTGGGTATTGTTTACTTAAAATGTGTTTTACTGTTATTCTCAGAAGGATTTTCTACTAACTTCACCATGTATTCACTTCATGTGTACTGATTTGCCAGAAGGCAGTTCGATAACTGATTCAAGACAAGACAGACAGGATAAATTTAATTTTCGAGTTAGTTTGTTATTAAGTTAGTGAATTTTTTCAGTTCATTCAGCCTACTATCTTTCTTTTTGTTCAATATGTATATTTTTTAGATTCCTGTGGATAGTCCTGAAGGCTTACGTTTTCGTTCTAGTTATTCATATGTTCAGTCTGCATCTCATATAGCTGTACTGAATCCGTTTACGCGGGAGCAAAAAATGATGTGGACACATTTAAATGATCCCAGGATTGTATATGATGTTTGTGAGTCCTGTATCTTGTATAATTTTTGCGACTAGCATTTTACTATAACAGTAAGCAAATTTTCTCACCACGTTTGCTAAAACATACAAAAGAAAACTGTTGATAATCGCAAATTTATTATAAATCCATGAGGTTACATTTCGTTGCTCGATGAGATAGCTATGCATATCTTTAATGCAAACCGTTAATTTCAGAGTAGTCTAGATCTGTTGATTTTTCCCATATATATCGCACGATTGAAATTAAATTGTGCTCTCATCATAGGTGTTTGCGTTCTATCTGCCGTGTTTAGTGGTATAATAGAGTGAGTAATATTGAGGTTAGGCATCGACGAGGTTGTGAAGTTACGTTGATTGAAATGGTTAGGAGATGTTTTACTCATATCTGCCTAGCCATCGCTTTCCTCGATTGTCAATGTTAGCTGAGATAGGATTGATCAGCTTGGAAAAGAGTAAGCTAGTGGTGGTCAAATGAAAACAGCTTCATCAATCAATGAAATCCATACCAGTTAGTTCTGAGCCACGTCTGGAGGTGTAGACTTCCTGTCTGGTTGGGGTACTCGGGGTGGTAAGAACCAATGATGATCAGCGACAAGTGGTGATATGGCTCAAAATGGTTCTCAATGGCTGGCGCAGATGCATCCACTCCTTGTAACTTATAATATCCAATAAAGTTGTATTGTCCTTGCATATTACTATTCTTTTTCCCTCATATTTCTGTTTATTATCTCTCTTTTGAATCTCTTTTTACTCTGTTCTCTTGATTCGTTTGCTAAGTGAAGTGTGGCGACTCGAACTGCTGCACATCTGTGCAAAGTTCTACGTTGAAACCAGTCAGTCTGTCGTAGCACTATTTGTATATCTAAACCAACTTTTTATGGTATTAGTAATGAAGGGTTTTAATCCGCATCTCATATTGTTTGTTCATTCGAGGAAAATTGCTATCGCCAGTTCTAGGTATCGTAAATTGTATTTTCAGTAGTTGTGCTTCAAATAATGTTAAATGAAGATAAAAAATATCAACAGGGTGTCGCTTCTTCTAATAGAGATCATCTACATAGAATGGGGAATCATTTCAGGAAGATAAAATAATAAACGTCAAATCAGTCATTTCACAGTGTTCAAAGATTTTCTGGGTTTCCAGCAGCCTGTTGCAAAATTTTATCAGGAACTGCCTTCACCAGGTAATGAAAATCAGATGAATGTTGAGAAAAGTTGAGAAACTAGGAATTCTGACAGTCAGCCAAGTAGAGACTTACTATCCAACAAATATTCCGAAGGAAGTGCTACCTCAGACATATTCTGATGAGATATTCAAGTGACATCACATCACACGGCAGGCAGACTCTCGTGTGGGACTCAGACTCGACGAGTTGGTTGTTGGCGGGTGACATGGCGGTTTTCGTGTGAAGAGGACGAATAAAATTAAGACGGAATGGGAAATAAAAATTTTCAATTAACTAGAACATTGTGTGTGGGCTGATGATGTCTGTCTGGATTCAACACAGAACTTGGCACCGAAGTGCAGCAGTTCGAGTTACCACGTTCCAAATAACACACAAAGGTAGACAAGAAAATGAGGGAAGAGAATCAATAGAGTTTTGACAAGTATAAGAGTGAAACAGAATGAGTAATGGTCGAAAGGAATATGAAAGATTACAGAGACGGAATACATCTGTGCCATTGACAACAATTTTGAGCCATGTCACCTATTGTCTCCAGCCATTGATTCTTATAGTCCCGAGGGCCCCAACCTGGAAGTCTGCATCTCCCTACCTGACTCAGTTTAACTGTCAAGGATTTCATGGATTGATGCCATGTTTTTGTTTGGCCACCACTTACTCATTTTCAACCTGCACCTATATCAGCTAGTAATGCCCGTCGGAGGAGGCGATGGTTAGGCATGCGCAGCACGTGACCTAGCCATTTCAATCTATGTAACTTTATAGCCTCTTCGATTGATTTTCCCTCTTTGCCCAACACTCTACGCCTAACGTCAACATTACTTACCTTATTATGCCACCTAACGTGAGAAATAGATCGTAAACATCTATGATCAAAAACAGACAACCTTTTCATGTCTTCAACTCGCATCGGCCATGTTTTAGAGCCATAGAGAAGGACGGAGCGAACTGCTGAGCAGTACACACGTCCCTTGGTTGATAGCCGGATGTCACGCCTGCGCCAGAGACGGTGTAAGTTAGCGAAAGCAGCCCGAGCTTTTTGGATCCGTGCTGAGATTTCGTCGCCAATCAGTCCGTTGGTGCTGATACAACTTCCCAAATAGGTGAAGTGGTCAACATGTTCTATCACTTCACTCCCTATCACTAAGCTAGGAGTTGACGTAGCCCAGTCCTGTAGCAGCATCTTACATTTTACAGGGGCAAATCGCATGCCAAACATACGAAGATTGCTGCTCAAGGTGTTCAGAAGACTGCATTTTGTCAGTATCCTCCCCTAACAGGACTATGTCGTCTGCATATTCTAAGTCCATAAGACTATTCCCTGGTAACAAGTCGATTCCTAAGTCGTTAAGTTCAGTTAAGGATACTTCCATTAGCATATCTATGATGAAGTTAAACAGAAAATGGGAAAGTGGACATCCCTGAAGGACACCACTGGTTGTTATCAATACAGATGACAATTCTCCATAAGCTCTTACACGGTCACGTGAGTTTAACTAGAGTGCCTTAATCAGTGCAATGTACTTTCTTGGCACTCCTTTCACAGTCAAACATTGCCATAGTACCTCTCGATCCACGGAGTCAAAGGCCACCTTCAAGTCAAGAAGTATGGCAATTGTTGGATGCCTAAAAGTGTGTCTATGTTCTAGGATCTGTCGGAGAGTGAAGATATGATCTATGCACCCTCTACCCGGTCTAAAGCCTGTTTGATTTTCCCTCGTTTGTTCCTCCCGAGTTCGGCTTAGTCTGTGCATGATTACTGAGCCTAGGATTTTAGAGACTATGTTCGTCAGGCTGATTCCCCTATGATTATCACATGCGGACTTGTCTCCCTTCTTGAATATTGGTATAATAAGTGACTTACCCCAGTCTGATGGAACCGTCTCTGATTCCCGGACGTTACCTAGTACCTTATTTAAACTATATACTAGTATGTCACCCCCATATTTAAACACCTCCGGAATAATTCCGTCGGGTCCTGCCGCTTTGCCTCGTTTCAAATTAAAGATAGTTTTCGTGACCTCACTTACAGACGGCGGGCTGATGATACTACATCGTTGTCCAAACCTCGACTGTTGAAATAGTATTTGAACCCCTTTAGGAAGATTAGAAGGTCTCAATCTTCATCTAACGACTTCTGCTAGGGTAAGGGTCATTCAGCAGTTTCGGCCCTCTCCATATGGTAAGTTTGTTTAGGTCATTACTGAAGATTTTGGTTGACCTCATTATCAGTTACACTCGACTTCGAAATACGTTCCAGTGTTAATAAGACTTTAGAAATTGTTGCTTTTCTAGTTATTTGTAGTATGGTGTATTAAGTTATATTGTTCTGTTTGCCCCTGTTATCCTAATAAAAAAAGAATAGAGACTAAGCGTTCGCGCCAAATGTTTACTGTCTCTCTTTGTAAGGAAACTTTTGGCATTGAGGGGTAGGTAACTGAACTAAATTAATTTCTGAAAGGCTGATACATTTTTTATCAGACTTATCCAAGTTTCAGTGTTGCCCTGTTAATCTACTTGATAATGATTCATATAAAATTCAATATTTTCAAATGTTGCATTATGTATATAAGAATAGGATTATGAGTTGTGCTAATCGGCTAACCGTACACAAATGGCTACCGTTTTAGAATCCGGTGACAGTCATTAGATTATTTTTATTCTTCTATGAAGTCCCTGGTGTCCGATCTTGGGTGTGCGCTGATTAGAAGTTCGGGGATAAGGTCAAAATGTCGTCTAGTGTTCCCTAGTTTCCGATGGATCTCTAACTGATTTCGGTTTGCGATGGAATCTTCGTTAAAGGTGTTGACAACAGGTGGTCTTCTTAAACAGCTTTTTCTCTCATAAGTTCACACTCGCAAAGATCTGTTGGTAGCAATTAAACTTGCAATTAGGATAAAATAGGGGTTGTAAACATGTCAGCTCTTGGCACTAAGTAAACCTTTTTTTAATTAAAGAAACCTAGAAAAGTTAACATATTTAGGTGTAAATTAAAGCTAGATGAACAAGTGTGTATATATATGTCTCTGGTTAAGTGATTGTCTTGGACACGCACATCGAACTTGTGTTATTATTATTATTATTATTATTATTATTATCATGACTAGGAGTCATCGGATAACACGATACAGAACTTATTATTAGTTTGTTGTATCGTCTTATGATCATTGCTAAGTCACTTACGCTATGTTGGATTTATTCGCCCACTTCATTCCAGTCATCGGTGATAGTAGACAGTCTTGTTTCGCTCTTGTCTTCACTTTAAATACTTTTCTTGGGCCTCCGTTTTTGAGGTACATGATACTGTTGACCTTTCAATGTCGATGAGGTTGAAGTAAAAAGGGTAAATGCCTTTCCAGGATCAGTTTGATGATTATGCATAGTTTCGCAATTCAATCCTCATGATTTGGTTTTCCAGAATCAAATCATGCTCCTGGTGAAGTATTCTATGGAAAGCATTTATCAGTTTGCATTAGGGAGATGCAGCTGGAAGTACCCAGGAGCATGTAACCTTGTCAGTTCTTGCATGCTAGTACAGTTTTCTTAAGTCTTATATTCTACATTGGTAATGCGTTTGAATGATGATGATGATATATATATATATATATATATATATCATATATAATATACGGTCAATAGATTTTCTACTCAAATATAAAGTACATATTTGTGTCATGTAGTTTCTATGCCATAACCTCGCCTCTTACAATCACTGTAATCATTATTTGTTATTATTATTATTACCATTACTACTAAACTTTTTCTTTCGGCTACTTAAATATAAAGTGCACGTGATTACTATACAACACTATGCATT